CCTTGTGGTTAGCAGCCAAATGCTTTAACCACTACACCACCACAGCTCCTTATTAATAGCCTTAGGTGGTGACAAACCTGATCTCTTCATTTTAAAGTTCCTCATCAACCGTCCACCAAATGGTTTTACAATTCATTGATTACTGTTTCCAGAACCAGTTATCTCTCATTAGGGAATTGTTCATTTTAAGAAAAGAATATTAGGAAAGTATCTAAAGGGAAGTCTTACAGGGCAGGAATTCAAAGGTTTTCCTGACATTAAATATAAACACACAATTGTTACAAAATTAAATAAGGAGATGAGGCAAAAATGGTTTTAAAAGCCTGGAGCCATAGCTAGATCATCTGGGATTCTCGTCTGGGATCCACTATCAAATGAATAGCCTTAGGAAAAGTTTCACCCCAGGGCATTTTTCTACTCTTCAAAAGTCATCTGTATATGGAGGCATATATTATGAGCTCCCCTCAGATATACTTTGTCATGCTCCGTGGTCAAATGTGAGAAACTTGGATAAAGGGTTTGGTAGAGAGAAGTTCTAGAAGTTTATGAAATGATAGGGGACAGTCTTACAAATAAAAGCAGCTCCTTATGGGTGGACACGCCATGTAAATCTTTTTCATGCATATTTATATAGATAACTTTTTAAATTAAAAATAATTTAAAAAGAAGAAACATACATGATAACAAAATTCAAATAGTATACAAAAGTCTACAATAGAGAAAGTAAAAGCTCTCTCCTCCACTCCCAGACAGCAAACTTAACCAGACTGATATTTTTTTCAATTTATAATTTAATTTTTAGATAATCATAGATCCCATTGAGTCACAAGGAATAATACAGGGAAACCTTGTACACTGTTCATTTCCCAGAATATTGACCGTCATGCAGCCAACATACAGAATAGGAACTGAGAGAGTTTTAAATGACTTTGCTCTTCTTCCTTGTCAGTGATTCTCCAACTTTCCCTGATTAGAAAGAGGCTACCTGGGTATCAGGATGAGGTCATAGGAATAGTGTTTTCCATTTGCATGCACCTGTCTGCCTTAGTCATATGATACTGTAGGCATTTTCTCTCCCTAGCATTTTTTTTTCCTTTACCCTAGTCCTTTGAAGTCATCAGAACTGTGGAACAATAGGGTGAAAATCCCTGATGTAGTTAATAGTTGTGGAATAAATATATCACATTAGTGCTTGCCACAGAAGGCTCCATAAATAGTCTACTTCCATAGGCGAGAATGAACTTCCACCTGATGACAGTTTACTTTTTAATACATTAGGACTCAGCAGTTCCTTTGCAATTCAGGTTCTTTGGCAGAACAAAGACTCACGAGGTTTTATTCTGATAGTTAAAAAGAAAATTTCCCAAGGAGGCAGAGATTCCTCAAGCAAAGTCATGATGTGAGTGCCACTGTCTGAAATGAGTTTCCTCTTGGGTTTTAGAGTAGAAGTAATTGGAAAGAAGTATAATTACAGAGTTGAATAAAAGTGACACACTGGGATTTTCCTTTGTCATGACATGTCATTTTTTTTAAAAAAGTATTTAAAATAAACTATAATAATTATGTGCATGTTGATTCTCATTTAATTACTTCTCATATTTAGCTGTGTTTTCTGAAAAAAAAAGTCTCCCCTTCCCTTGTTAAAGGACAATTTGGTAGTACTGAAAAAACCCACTGCCACTGAGTTGATTCCAACTCCTAGTGACCCTATAGAACAGGGTAGAACTGCCCCGTGGGGTTTCTGTAAATCTTTACAGAAGCAGACTGCCTCATCTTTCTCCCATGGAGCTGCTGGTGGCTTTGAACCACTGACCTTTTGGTTAGCAGGTGAATGCCATAAACACTGCGGCACTGGCACCGAGGATCCTTAGTACTAAGAAAGGAGGTACTTAAATATTTAACCAGATGATTTCTTGGTGGCTTAGAGAGGTTTACTTGTGTGTATATTTATATGTGTAAGTGTTTGTTCATGCACTAATTACACTTGGTTGCTCTATATCAGGGTGCTCACAGTCAGTACCTACAAATGCATGGAAATGAGTGACAAGGACCCAGTGGGAAACTGGGGCATTTATCTCTTAAAAGGGCAGTTCTAGTGAAAATACCTTCCTGGTGTTGCTGCTGTATCTTCATTTTCAAGAGAAACTGTAAATTTGATTTTTTTGTTAAGCTTTTGAAAACCAAAACCCATTGCCATTGAGTCAATTTCAACTCGTAATTATAGGACAGCATTGAGTTGTTCCTGGGTTTCTAGGAGCCTTGGTGGTGAAATAGTTAAAGCACTCAGATGCTAACCAAAAAGTGAGGAGTACAACTCACCAGTCTGTGGGAGAAAGAGGAGGCAGTCTGCTTCATAAAAGATTACAGCCTTGGAAACCCTGTGGGGTGGTTCTACTCTGTCCTACAGAATCACTGTACATCATCCTACAGAATGAGTCACACTCAAGTCAATGGCAGTGGGTTTTTTTTTTTTTTTTTTTTGTCTGTTTGTTTTAAAATAGGGTTTTCAAAGCTGTGCTCTTTATGGAAGCAGACCTCTTTCTTCCATGGAGCTGCTGGTGGGTTCAAATCACTGACCTTTAAATTAGAAGTGAGCGCTTAACCACTGTGCCACCAGGGCTCGTGTCCTTTAAAAGCAGGCAAATCCGTTTTTAAAGCCAGACCCCATGCACCCCGTGTTTGCACATGATGTACTTCCCTCTAGTGTAGAATTGTTTGCTGTTGAGCTGATTCCAGTCGCGGCCATCCATGTGTGTCAGAGTCACACTGTGCTCTGCGGGATTTTCAGTGGCTGATTTTGAAAGTAGATTGCCAGGCTTCTCACCTCTGGGTGTCCTCAAACCTTTCAAGCACATTAACATTTTGCACCGGCCAGGGACGACGCTCTCTCATATAAGTTTAATTCTTTGATAATTTTGTATTGACTTCCAGTGAACCCAAGGAACATTAGGTATCACCTCAGACTCAACAACTGAACTTACAACCTCTGCCCCACAACTTGCTCTCTGTCTGGCCTTTCCTTTCTGTCTAAATTAGCATCAGTTTTCCAATCATTTGTACGCTCCATCTTGAATTTTTTTTTCTTCTTATCTTTCCCATTATTGCTAGTCTGAACCTGACTCTGTTGATTTTCCTTCTGAATTTCCACATGTCTTTCCTTCCCTTCCTTCTCATTCCAGCTACTCCCTCCCCAGCCCTCACACTGTCCTCCTGTTCTAGGCTCTCCCCCTCCTCCAGTTCCTTTGGTATTAAACAAGGTCGATCATCAATTTCATATACCTGTTTCATTATCTCCCTACTCAAAAACTTCTGTTAGTTCCTCTTGCCTACCCATATAAATTCCACAACTACCTCTGCCTGCACCTCAGGGGTTCATGGTAGTTTTATCTTAGCCAGCCAATCTATCAAATATTTCCCTCCTGGTATGCAGTGCTGCCAGGGAGCTTGTGGGAGTTTTAGATAATGGAACAAATCCTTTCCCTAGGCCTTGGCTGCTGAGATGCT